TCCCATATTACAGAAAGGATGTTGGCCCTACATTTTTGTACATGACTGGAAAATGTCAGCTATTTTTACTTTATCTACTGTACCTGTTTCCATACTGTACCATAGATCTATAACATATTATACAACACCTACGTGGATCCTTGTTATTTGATTGGAGGATTGTTGGTCACATGATATTCAATAGATGTTATATTGCACGGTCGTGCATTTTTGGTTATACGCGCCGTGCATTTTTGGTTATATGCGGACTGCGTACCTCTCTGCGCGTATCCCTGTGTGTATCTGACGCGAAGGCAATCTGAATGTAATCGAGAAGGCTTGACTCCAACTTTAATTTATCTTTAATATAAGGAGTAAAGCATAATTTGTTGATTAACTTTTTATTAGATCTTCTTCGATGTTGTATAAAACAAATAATTAATGTTTTTCATTTGTTTAATAGTGCAAATATTTTCATTCGTTGAAAGATTAACGTTATTTCTATTCAACTCGGTTGACACCTCGTTGAATAGAATGTTAATCTTTCAACTCATGAAAATATTCGCACTATTGAACTCATAACCATTCATTATTTGTATACTACATGTATTGATGTACAGTGTATGGTGCACATAAATGGCACAACGTTTTTCGAAACGTTTTGTGTGTGCAGTGTGAATAGACCTACTGTTGGATAATGCACCTCGGATAATAGGCTTTTACGGTGATACACCCCCTGTATACATTCAGGGGGGAGGTTTGATTGATTCAGATGGGCCCCATTGATCAGAGATCAAGTTACCTTTTAACACTGTCTTGAAACAGCTTTGGAGGAAACTTGCCCACATTTGTGATGGAGAGAGATTGACTTTCTGTTGTGATATTGATCATGACTTCCTGTGCATATAGAAAGGCTTAAACTTAAAGGGAAATGTCCAGAATTACCGGAATAAGGATCATTGTGTTGACGTTTAATACCTTCATACTGTACATGAACAAGAAGATACCTCCCAATATTGATCAAGAAAATCCATTTTCTTACCCGTTGATAATACCATTACACCCACAATGGTTTGCTTTTAATTGATTTTATACACCAGCCAAGTTGCTTAAAGAGAGTGTAGCTTGGCAAATACTGGTTAACTTAACGCCATCTACCGGTATGTCTTCTTTTGGACAACTGCACATAAACAAATAGACTTGATTAACGGTAGTCAGTGACTATAGTCTCTACATGGTCAGCGTTCGCGAAACAGACCGAAGTTCTCCTCACGCTTTGGTTTCCACATGTTGCATGTGCATTATACCCGATTGGCCCAAGGGAAAGACACATAGTCTCGTCAGGCTGCACTCCCTTTAACTTATTAAGCCAAACTGCCTTGGTAAGTTTGTTGTTCTTAAAAAGGAAGCATTTGATTTCCCAAGAGCTCTGGATGCATTGAAATATGAAATGCAACCTTGGAATTGAATAAGGTCGCTCCCTTTGTGACCTCTTATCACCACTCAAAGCCACATTTTATTCAGACGGTTTCCTTTCTCATGTGCTCAGCTTTAGGTGCATGTTCAGGATAAATGTTGGCTCATGTATACATGTATATCTTCTTTTTTTTTTTTGGGGGGGGGGGTTTCTTTATAAATGGCAGTTTCCAGGATGCACGTTGCAGTCACTCCAAAAGGAACATGTGATTCGAACAAAATTGAAGTTGTGACAGAATGAAGGATTTGTTTTCTGTGTTGAGCATGTTTTATTTGGAAATAAAACACTTCTCTTGCCAGTACATGTACCTACAGTAGTTTAAATAAATCAGGATTTTAAAGTGAGATGTGTTCTAAGATTCAGAATTCCCTTACATCTCTGGTCTCCCCAATACCATTCTGATAATTGTGAAGCGATTGTAGCATGAATACTGATTGTTCAACAACTGAATTGAACCGTGTATGGACTTATCAGCTGGATGCACCTTGATGACTGCTGAACAAAATCATAAGTGAAGCCAAACAATATCCACTTTTTAACCGAATAGTTGCAGATAAACTCAACAAATTCCATGTTTTTCAACCAGAATCGTATCATCTGTTAAGAGCTAAAAAGGGGTTAACTCTGTGTTAACTCTGTGTTAACTCTGGACGGACAATATAATACTAATCTTATTTCCCTAGGTAAGCCTCACCAGCAGCAATGCTGTTCTTCTTGAAGGCTTTGCAAGACTTATTACCCCCACCAGTTGCCAGGTAGCCTTTTACACACCTGGGTGAAGAGTGGCAAATATGGATTAAAACATTGCCAGAGGGCGTTAGTGCCAGGCTGGGATTAGTACCCTTCATGTATATCCTTGGATTGAGAGTCTAGTGATTGTCAAGGGGAGGCGCGATGGCTCAGTGGTAGGGCAGTGGTCTCGTAAACAGGAGGTCCTGTGTTCAAAACCAAGTTGATGCTCTCGTGCCCTTTGGTAATTAATCCTCATTACCAAGTCCATCAGAGAGGACTTATAGCCATTGGTCCCCTGGCTGCTTTAATACTTACAAGCATACACATGCTTTCTTAGCAGTCAGGTAAAACAAAAAAGCAAACAATCACACCTCCATCATCATACATAAAAAAGCATTTCTACAATCCTGCAGACAAGGCAAACGGAACAGGTTTTCTCATTATATGTGACACACACCCAGGAACCGTGAAAGGAAGAAAAAAGCGCAATGATCTTCTTCTCGACCGCAAGATGCATGTCATGTCCAAAAGTTCAAATGTGATTGAAAATTTACCAGATTCCCCTGGGCGCCCAAATCGATTTGATCAAATAAACCCATCTCCAGGCTTTACTCATCATTCAGTGAATGTAATTTCTTGCCCCCCCCCCCCTTCTCCATCCTTTCATCTTTACCCCTATTTAGACTACCAAAATTCTTGGTATAACCATGTGAAAACTCTATAGCTATACCAAAAGTAATTGATTTTTACCAAATGTAGTCTGAACATTGAATAATGAAATGTCATATGATGGAACATGAAGCCAAATGGATGTTTACGCATCATTTCTATAAAGAATCAGGCTCTATTTCGAATTAGCATCATGTAATATAAACACATATAACTGAGCAGGGCATATATCATGGGGGCATGCTAAGAAGAGTTGACACTGAACAGGTGTGGACTGACCTATTAAAAATAGTGATGTTTCTTTAATTCAAGTAATTTTGTTCCATGTGTGAATGCCTCTATCGCTACACAAAGATTCTGAACACGTTTGTTTTTTGTGTTATTTCCTGTAGCCTAAACAGGTCTCTGTCTGACAAACCATTTTGGGGGTGACAATTGGAGCATTCTTCATTGGTTTTTTGCATGCCCCAATGCTTCATTTAAATGGAAATACCCCTTTCACACTGAAAGACATTTATAGGAACTCTGTACGAAGAAACGTCTAATGAATCATCGTATAGCAGAAGAGGCATTCACACTTGAAAAAGGTATCACATACAGAAAAATTGTGTAAAGAAACTAGTTTCGAAGAGGTCAGAGCCCCACCCAGCTAAACAGCGTTCAGTTGAGAATGAGACCCTGATTCTTCAGCAAGGTCTTGATGCGCGATGTATAAACATGCCTTTCGCTTTATACATGTACATCATTCACACTAGAAAAACTTAATGAATTATCATAAAGCTACTACAGTACATGTACTGCATGTGGTTTTGTATGGCTATACAACAGATTTTTAATAGTGTGAAAGAGGGGAGAGATTGCAATGATGATTCAGGAATAGGTAAAGGCATCTTGTAGGGGTATTGAACCATGATTAAAGTTAACCACCTCCCGGCGGCGGCGCAAGTGCAGCATCCCTCATAATCTGCTCTAGCACAACTGATCTACTTAACTTTCTGCATACACATGGCTTGCCTCGGATCGTCTTTATGCTTCTATATTGTATTGTCTGGGTAGTACCAAAAGGGCATTAACACTTCGGCAGCTTTCGTTGCCTCTCTGTACATCGCTCATTTGCGACACGTGCCATTTTGCACAAAACAATAGCATCAGTTGACGGAAGGACTGCTTTGTGCAACAAAATTACCCATTTTGGCTCTAATTATTAGCTCCATGACAATCCTTTTAACACTGACATACATGTAGATTAATCACGCTTTGGAAACATTTAAATGATCCTGAATCATTTGGTATATCTGTCCCACGATTAATACAATTTGGCATGGGGAGATTGTTTGTTTGGCATATAAAGAGTTAAAGTGTTACAGTCACATAAACAAATATATATTTATTTAATTTAGAATGTATAAAATGAACCTTAAAAATCTTCACCTGGCAAGTTATGGGTTAACCGTTTATAAGGAGTATGAAGAAAAAAGAGAATAACATAAATTTTGAAAAATGGCGCAGGGAACCCAAGTCAAATGTGGGTTCTGTGCTGGATTTTTATCTTTGCGAGAGGGTACAGGTGCATCAGCTTTTCTTATCAAAATTAGTTTTCTGTCAAGTGAGAAAATATTTAAACTTGTAATAACTCTTTATTGAAGTCATATTTGGTGCTCATGTCTTAAATATAGGATAGCGACATGGAATACCTAATATACAGAGTAAATTTCTTTGGTGATGGGTTCACTTTGGAGATAAAAAACTTGATCGACGAAAATAAACCTACAGGTACTCTCAAAAACCACAGTTCTTTGAAACATGGATTCAAGTATCTCAACTGTGATATCTTTTTTTAATGAACAGTGTTATTTTATACCATAAATGTAAGTTAAGCCACAAAAAACACAATCTACAGGTACATTACGTGTACATTGATTTTACAACCTGTGATTTGCTGGTACCATACTAGTATTAGAAGTACACATAAACTCAGATCCTACTGCGACCCAATATGTTTGATTCAATTTTATTTTCCTTCATTATTTATATTTGGAGATGACATATTTGCAGAACACAAATCAGGACCTACACCTGTACATGTATTAAAGCAACCCATTCCATTTGATATTAATGTTCTTTTCTTGTTTTCAATTTGCAGATACCGTATTGGAAGTACATGTACACACAAAAGGACGGGACTAACCAGTAGTACCAGTAACACTGATGGACATAGATTGCAAGAGCCCTTGACAGTAAGGAAATACTAGAAGGGTACACTGATCAGGGAGCAGGAACCGCCAGATACTCTTTCTTCTTCGTCTCGTTGGCTGGCTGGGGTAATAGCCCTTTCGGTGAGTAGCCTTGACTCTTGTAATGTAAGACGCTTGGAGGAAGCTAATAACAGTTTTAACACTTTTTGTGTAGTAAGGATTGAGTCTGTTGAGGTGCAGTGTGCCCCAATCTGCAACAAAGATATCAGATTGTGTCGTAGAAGTAGAATTAAACCTGTATAGAAAGACCACCCAAGGGAGACACAAAGGTAGTCTTTGTATGCAGGTGGTCTTTGTAGACAGGTTTGCTTGAATGCTAATACTACGAAACATTGTTTCAAAGAAAACAAGGTATATGGACTATATCGGAAGGTGGCCTTTCTATCCAGGTGGTCACTGCAGCACGCTTAACTGTATCATTATAATTATGTACTTCAATGAGGGCTCCACATCAATGGTTGATACTATAATACATCCTGTCAGTGCAGCGGAGGTCTCCTCTCTCCTCCAATCTTTTGCTCCTCCCTGTAGCGATTCCTTTTCTCAGGAAGTATCTTGTGGCCGAAGAATTTGAGTGATACAATCTAGACTCAAAGTGATGATAAACAAGCTATTACAAGTCATCAACAGCAAGGAAGTCCACAGGAGTTCATCTCAGAGACCCACTTCCTCTGGTAGCACATCGTACATTGTAGGTCCATGTTCGGGCCATGTTATCAGGTTTAATTCATGTGCAAGGCTTTTCAACAGATTCTGTGCAATCATTCTGAAGTTGTACCTGTATATTAGGCCTGGTTTGAGATAAGTATCAGACCAGTATCTACAGTATAGCTGTTGATGAAACCAGAGGGGGCATTTTGTTTGATGATTCCCCCCCCCCCCTCCCTCCTTTGTTTTTCCTTTGCTGGGCAACTCATCAAAGACGTGGTTTCTTGTGGCCTGATGTATCAAGGGGATCCTCTCTCTATCTATGGCTTTTGAAAGAACCAGAGGAGGGCATTTCTCTTTGAGCCCCCCCCCCCCCCTCCACCAACCCTCTTCAGTTTGTTCCTTCGCTGGTCAACTCATCAAATATGTGGTTTCACGCCGATGTATCAAGGCGATACCTTCTGTAAGTGGGCTTGAGTGATTTGATCTAGACCAAGAGAAAGAAGATGGACAACAGAAGGTGAAGACGAAAAGAGGACAATTAGGATGAAAGCGATCTCTGAGAGGAGATACACTCAGAACCTCACTCACACTTCAAAATAAGAACGCTCCGAAAGAGCAACCACGCATCAATTTGTTTGGAAGGGGTCCCCACGACATGTTTTCTGTTAATTCCATGATTCACAATTTTTATTTAAATGTTCCAAAAGTGCAATCATGAACCAAGATGGGATAGTGGTATGAAAGAGGGCCCTCTCAGATCCAATTGAGACCACATTCATATTAGAATGCTCCTAAAGATCAACAAAACAATTAGATGAAAGGAGGATGTTAAGCATGAAAGGCGTCTCTTAGAGATGTACTCAAGACCACTGTCACTATTATCAAAACACCCGCACCCCCAAAAAGATTGACAACAAATCATAATGTAAGGACAGTTGTAGGATAAGGGGTCTCAAGGAGATGCATCTTTAGATCACATTCGGTCTTTCAAAAGAGAGCAAGGTCCAGAAGAGCAACATGAAGATGGCAAGATGATTTTTAGTTTTCAAAGGTATTAAAAGGTGTCTCCCAAATACACCCAACACAAGTTGTTCACACTTTAAAAATAATAACGCTCTCATTGATTAAGCAACAAATGATGAACAATCTTTAGGAGACACACTGACACCTTTTCACACTTCCCAGTAGGAGCATGGACCGCTTTAAAGATGAAGTTGAGTTCTGGTCATGCGATTGCATTGTGAAAGAAACGGTGTGGAATCGACCAGAAAAGGCTGATCATCTATAGCATATAAGAATTTGTGTGTATTGCAAGGTTCTGGAATCATCAAAATGATAAGAAATTGGCCAAGTCTTGGTAAAGTTACAAACACTGTACACAGAAAGATGTATATGGGACTACACGAACACGTGGCGTAAAAAACCTACCCCCCGAGTTTTACGATGTACATGACATATTTAGAATATGAAGGCATTTGAAGAGCCATGCTTTTCAGGGAACATGTCTTATCTGATGTTCTTCCACACTTGCATAATAAGAATGATAACGCTCACAAATTATTTTTCACCTCTTCCCAGAACTCAACCTTCTCTTTAAATGCCTTCACAGTTTCGGACGTTGATTTGACCTCATCCAATAACATTTAATGCCATAAATAGATGACTGTAAAAGTCAATTTGACCTCCACTTCTTGTGTTAGGTAATTTTTGTGTTAGATCTGTCTTCACACAAACCATTATATTGCGCTATCAGGGGTGCATGTGCTAAAATATCAATTTAAAAAACTATCGATTTATGGCCGTTGTTTTGATATAGAAAATGAGATTTCCTTTCTGTAGCTGTTCTGTATTCTAGTTCTTTTGTATTGACTTCTTTTCTTCCAGAGGTAGTTACAAGATTACCAGAGCAATTTCAGAGAGACAGTAGTGCTTCTTGACTTTGTTCCATAAAGTATCTGCGCACCGCAACATTTATTTACTATAAGTGTGAAAGTGGCCAACGGATATTAGCTATTAGTCAAGAGAAAGAAAAAAAAAGAGATTGGCAATCTGGATTTCAATCCTGCAAAGGTGGTTCGATTTCCCTGGGTGTCCTTCATTGGTGTAACATAGTCGGGTACTGGGAGATAGCAGCTCAAGCTCATCAGACATTAGCAACAAACACACACAGATTTGTATGCGTGGGGATGGGGGTAGGAGGATGACCTGCAGTAGAAAGTAATCTACTCCAAATTAATTCAGTTTATTGATTACAAGGTATACAATTAACCCCTGCACCATTGATTTAAGGAGTGTTGTTGATGCTGAATGGGTTTTCTTTAGTTTGCCTATGAATATTCATCAAATAGGGTTTACAGGTACATGTACAAGTTGACAGTAAAGGTCTACCTGGTCCATTTCTTTCATTGTTTAGTGTTGAATGTTGGATACACAATGAATTACTTTTATTCACTGAACAAAATTAGCATTCGTCCTGTGTGTAAAGGCTATACACCTCAATCAATTTCTTGAAACATTTGGCAAGAGCTTTTAATGCACCTTGAGAACAAATCTCTTGCACTTGGCCGATTTTCATCAAGACTGCATTATGAAAGTATTTCCTACAAAACAAATATGGTAAGGTTTATAAAGCCTACTGCAACGAATGATCATCATCTTATTTTGTGCATACTTTTGCATTCACGAAATATGTACTGTAAGGCGAATGCCTGCTGTATTTCAGTAACTGAGCACTACAGAATGAACCTCCTTGATCAAAGCAACATGACTAGAATTCGTTACTGACTAGAATTCCTAGATGACTAGTGTTCTCAGATGTCAGTGTTACGACCTTGTGACGCCTGAGGAGTATCGTCTTCTGCACGGCCTTCTTGCACTCGGCGGATTAGTGGCTAAGTGAGATGCATGTCGGCGCCATTTGGTGAAGGCATGCACCCACCGTGGTCGTTGAGCGAGACACTACGTAAAAAGCCCCGATCACGATGGAAGCATAGAGGGATGCCTGTTACAGTAGAGGGGAAATTAATGAGACGCTTAACGCTCCAGGGCCCCCTCGGTTAGATAAATACTAAGGGTATCCTTAAAGAGAAAATAGTCAGTTTTGCAGAACGGTTGGTATTGGGGCCTGATTGATATGAGGTTTTAAGGTAAAAGCATCGTTACAAATGTGAGGCGTTCGATGATGCGTTCGAGGATGCAAGTTGACCAAGTTGATAGAATGTCCACCGACTGAACTTTAAAAATTCAAAGTTTAAGACAACCCGAGTACTAGTAGGTGGATTACTCCAGCTAATTTTGTGTTGGTAATGATATGCCCCTCCCTAATACATGTAGGTTAGGAACCATTGGAAAACACTCTGTTCCTCAGATAGGATGTTTAAATGGAGGTCCCGTGTGTTTTAGGAGAGCCCCACCATACAGTCTCCTTCAGAATGCACCTCACTCTTCATACGCAGATCTATACAGTCATTGAAACGGTACACCTGCACAACCAATCGGTAACTTATACCAGAAGGAGACATGTATGCGAGAGTGTCTTCGCTTTTCCCCTCCCAGGCACAGGTGATGCCAAATACTTCTCGATAATGATCATATTGGGTGTCGACTCTGTCAAGATATTTCCTTGATGTACTGTAGTAAATCCTGACTCAGCTGACTATCTTATCAATTGTAATCCATTCCAATCTAGGGTGTTTACATTTGTTGATATACTTCTGTTTCCGATTCATATTTCATTTTCGTTGCTACAAGTATCTCAGAGATATAAACAAAGTCACTTACATTTTAGTAACCCCATGTTCGTGAAATAGGTCATACAAAAATGTAGCGTCCATCGATAATTTGCAGTTTGTTTGTGGAAGACTTATCGGTTTTCATGTCAAATATCTCTATTTGTAATCTCCATAGTGAATGGATATATGCTGCACTTAATTTGATGCATTGTTTGGTTAATAAACACTTGATGCGAGATATGCAATATCAAATATATATGCAGATAACAGAAGATTAGCGACAGACGAATAAACACTTAAAGGGTGAATGTTATACATGAAGGTGTGCTAATGATTAATGTAAATTTTCATATCTTTTGTACTTTGATAATTAAATGCCCCAATAGATAAACATGTAACCAGTCACTCAAACTTATGACATGTTCAGACAAAAAAAAGAATCATCAATAAAGCAAAAGGAACGTACAGACTAGAAAAACAACATTGTATTTAAATTGAATTTTTTTTGAAGTGGTTAGTTGACTTAATAGGACAGTTGGCCAATAGTCAGTGTGTGATCAGACCAAACAATCTCAAACAGGCGTTTCACTATACATTGTACGTTTCATTATACAATGTTTCTTCATATTATGCTCAGACTTGGACAAATTAATGTCCTTTCCCATAGGAATATAACCGATTCTGTACAATGCATTTTCC